CCCCCCGCCTCTCGCCGCCGCTTCTCCGTGATGGACTTCCGGCTCGTCGGGCTATGCGGCCGTGAGGAGGCACACAAACACAACCCGACCGGGGCGGAGCGGCGTAGCAGGGGCACGACAAGGCGATGGAGTGACGCGCTGAAATGGCTTCGTTATTCCCGCCTTTCAGTCCGTGATCTGTCACCGCTCACAGGGTCCTTTTGTGGTGCGGGAGGCCGACAGGCAGCCGCGGGTGGGCATAAAGACGGACGGACAGGTGGATGGCAGGCGGGCAGGCGGGGGTGGGTGGGTGTAATGCGCCGTGCGGCGCCAACATGGTGTTATGTAGCGGAACAATGGAACGCCGCAAGGACTGTTCCGCAGACGCTGCTATGATGATGGCGGGCCGCACACGAGTGGAGTGACGGGTCTTTTATGGAGGTTTGGGGTAGTTCAACCTCGGTGCTCCACCACAACTCCACTGGAAACGAAACAATGGAAGCTTTTTAGAGTTCGCAAAGTTTAGTGAGTGTTAGTGCCCGTTGGCACTAACATCCTGGTGGGGGTGGGGTTAGGTTACCTTGACGTGACAGTTCTACACTTCACACTCAATGAGGTGGTCGTGACACCAAATTACCACACCTCACCTTGTCTCCTTGTGTGCTATCGGCCCTTGCGTTCGATTTTTGGCCCTATAGCCGTGTCTCGATGGCGTCCTCCACCTTCGCCGCCTCCGCGTCACTCCCACGGTCCCCCGGCGCCCCTAACGCTGTCACACTCGAGCCGCACTCAGCCGCGCCCCTCGACGTGCAATGGCCCTGGAGGGGCCAGGCCCGGCCCGGGCTAGAGAGGGCCACGAGACGTCTGCCAACAGGCTCCGCCTCGGGCTCCACCGGGTTCCACCGCGGCGCCGGCGACACTCGTCTGGCTTCGGCGGGCTTCGGTGGTGTCTCTTGCCACGTGTCGCGCGGGAAGAGCCTGGCCGGTGGGGCTGGCGGGCGGGCGGGCGCCGGAAGGTGCGGGTCATAGCGATCAGAGCGAACGTCACTGCAAATTTATTCACCGTGAGCTACGGTGGATGGGTAAATGTCACTGTTAACTGCGGCGATTTTCACCTGCAGGCTCGCTGTGAAATGGTTGGCCTTCTTCTCAGAACTCCAAATCTTGGCGTCTTTGAACGCCAAATCTTGGCGTATTTGAACTCCAAATCTCGGCGTCTTTAAACGCCAACCAGTTTACACTGAGTTACGGTAAATGTTGCCCCATACGCTTCGGCGAGTCTATCACCGCGTAGCTGACACACGTGGCGCGGCTTACCCGAGGCGGGGCGTGGCGTGGTGCGCGCCGCTCCGTGCCCGTGGCGCCCGTGGCCTCCGCCGGGGCCTCCCCTTGAGGCCGGACATAATACATATCGCCGGGGCCTGAGGGGCGCGGCGCAGCGCGGTGGGGGGCTGCTTGGCTATAGGCCTCTCGGCCTGGGCCCGGCCCCCGGGAGGTGGACCCGGCCGCCGCGCGCGCGTGCATGGGTGCGGCGCGCTGTGCCTACCCCCAAGGCGCTGACACACGCTCACAGGACACAGGCTCGGCCGGCCCTGTTGCTCGGGGCCCGCCCCCCACCCCCACGCTACCTCGGCCGCCTCGCCACTCCCCGCCGCCAGCTCTTCAGCCTTTCATTGTGTTCGCTCCCCTGCTCCGCCCTCCTCCTCCCCGAGGGGTCGTCAACTCCGATATTCCTTCGTACACGGACTGATATTCCTCTAATATTACTCTAATATTACACATATTACTTGATATTCCACAATATTACCCGATATTACACAATATTACCCGATATTACACAATATTACTCGATATTACTTGATATTACTCGATATTACTTCACATCAATTGTACATGCCGAGCAACTTAGCACACCAGAATTGTTTCTGGTGGTGCAGCGGAAGGGTCAAACATTTCTGTTAATATTTAGAAACTGTGCGTGGTGAATCGTAGGCCTACTACAGTCATAATGGCTTTTTAAAAAGACCGCCAGCCACGCCAGTTGCCGGAACCACCTGCGATTCTGCACTAGTCAGCCATGACGACTTGATGGCAACAGCGCTCCGCATTGCTCGCGGCCTCTGTTGTACTTGTTGTCGTGTACGTCCATGCATCTACGAAACGTGTTACCGGTATTTCTATTAAATGAGAAGTGGACTTAAACAGTAACTACATATGTACCGTGTGTAACTGAGGATGCGCAACAGTGTTGCGGGATTGCATACCCGCCAGGGCTGCAGGGGCCATGGCGCCTTACGGGCTAAATGGGTAGGCAAACACGCAACACTGTTACGCATTCTCAGTTACACCCGGTACATCGGTCTCACGGCCGCGAACGTCACCGCAGGGACCCAAGACTCTGCGGCCTTCGAGGTGAAGATTGGGCCGAGGAGGGACGCTTTGGGTGGGGTGGCTACCCCTTCTCAGTTCGGCGACAGGGCAAGTTGAACTTGGGGGTAGTTTTTGAACGATATTCCACTTTATCGAGTTTGTACGCAAAGTGGTTGGTCCGATCGACATGTAAATTTGAAGGAAGCTTCCTTGGGGTGTTCTTTAACAGATCCGCATAAACCCAGCTCTCCATCCCCTCCCAAAGGGGTGCACAGTCACTCGGGGGTAGCTACCCCCTGGGAAGGGGTTGAAGATGTTGACACCGGGTTTCTCGGTGTGGATGTGTTCCAAATGGCAAAAGGAATCATTCCTAAAAGTTTCATGCCAAAACTTCAACCCTTAGGTCCAAAAATGGCCGATATTCGAAAAGGGGTTGCACGTTCGTGGGGGTTGTTTGGCCGGGGTTTGTCCAATTCGAAAAAAAACACACGTTCCGTGTACAGGGGGTGTCCCCGGAGGACATCACGGTAGTTTTGACCATCCTCAAAACTCACCCCTTCATGGGGGTGGGGGTGAACAGGGCAGGGGATGGGTTTAAACGACCGCGATTTCGCTAGAGCCGTTCGAAAGAGGACACAAATTTGAGTCGGTACACCAAAAATTTCGACTTTCCGATCATTGGCTGAGCGATTAGCGAAGCCTATTACTCCAGTGATCAAAAAGTTTCGCGTCTGTCTGTCCGTCTGTCTGTCTGTGTGTCTGTGCGCACGATAACTCGAGAACGAATTGAGCTAGCGACCTGGGATTTTCAGGGTCGTTTTGTATCTTAAAAAGACAGATCAAGTTCGAAGAGGAGCATTCTAGCTCAAAAATTGGATTTTAAAAAAATCAAAAACCAAAGGTCCCACAAATATTTGTTTTTTAAATATGTTTTTATACTTTTCTAAGGAGTAACTCATCACAATAGAGCCCTGTGGACGAAAATTTCGTCCGTTTGGCTCTATCTTTAACCGTTTAGGGGCCACAGGGAGTTTTTGATGGAAACAAGCGAAAAAATGTACAACCCTGAACCCTGCATGCTTGGTCAAAGTGACGGGAAGTTGATGGGCCGGAGGCCCTATCTTTGTGTACATTTTGGCGCTATCCGACTCGGGTGTCAGCGCCGCAGGCCTAGGTAGATGTATGCCAGGCGCGTCGCAGCGCAACAGTGTTTCGTGAGATATCGCGAAGCCTGTTACGCGAGACGTGGTCTGGCGTACATCTACCTAGTTTTAAGTGACAAATTCGGAACCTTGTAGGTCAAATTTTCTACCCCTCTTAACTCTAGGGGCTGCACAGGCCGTATGGGGTGGCGCAAGGGATGCCCACTTCGTGGGATCCAAGATAAACCAATGGGACGTCTACAGGCCAAATCTCGACATTCTAGCCCAAAACACTTAGAAAATACGCCGGCTCAAAAAAGTGCGCCGCTAATTTCGAGCGGCAGTGTATTACTTGATATATTACGTAATATTACTTGATATTACGGAATATTACTTGATATTACGTAATATTACTTGATAGTACATGATATTAC